TAATGTAGGAATTCAGGACCCCAGAGGACACCCAGCCTGGGACAGGACGGGGGTGCACTGGTTCATTCCATGGCTCCCTACGTCCTCCCAGTATAGACTTATACACCCTCCTAAGTTCTTAATTTGTTTCTGTAATGTGGCAGTTTAAGAGTTTGGCTCATCAGAGCACAGCTGGGTGAAGGCCAGCCTTTCTGTTGGGATTACACAGGCACTGAGGTGGTTTTAGTTCATGCTTCCTTCTCCTTCACAGAAATGTGAGCATGGGGGAGACTCAGCTTCTCAACCCCGTTCATCCCCTGAGCTACCGAGGGTGGCCTGGGGAGTGCGTCGCAGAGACTAACAGCGGATCTGTAAGAGGCGGGGGTGGCAGTGCAGACTGTCAGGGCTGGGGCTGCCAACTCCAGCTGGAGCCAAACTGTGACGCTTCCTGAACGTGATCACGAGTTCACGAGTTTGGACTTGACCCTGGAGAACCACGGAAGGTTTCTGACCAGGAGTGGCACCGTAGGATATCTACTTCAAGAAAACAGTTGGCCGCCACACCAAGTGGACTGGAATGCAGCCTAGTTAGGAAGCTTTGCTATTGTAAAAAGAAAAAAAAAATGAAAGAAAAGAAAAGAAAGAAAGAAAAGCAGGCCATGGCCAAGGGGGTGGAACATTAGACAAAGGCTCAGAATCTGGCTCACGGTGTCATGGGTGAGGTCTGCAGGATCCAGGGACATCTTGGCTACTCCTCTGGTGGAGTCCTTCCCGGCCAAGGCATTGTAGGGGGCTCCTCGTCCATAAAACTCTGAAGTGGGGAGGAAGGAGCGGGATGTGAGTGTGGATGTGCACGCAGGGCAGCCAGGAGGCTGCACGTGGCAGTGGCCGGGGGGGCGGGGGTCTGAGATCCAACCCGATTCTAAGAAAGGCTCCAGGCCCGAGGGGAGGGAAGGCAGTAACCCCCAGCCATCAGTTTGGATTCGAGTAATTCAGAATATGGAATGAGTCGCACATTGCTGGGCTGAGATACAAAAATAATCTCTTAAAAATATTTAAAATCCAAGCAAGGAAAATGTTCAGTTTTCTTAAATGTTGGGAGAACCACCCCAGCTGGCTGCTCAGTGGTCAGAGCGTCATCCCACAAACCAAAAGGTCTCAGGTTTGATTCCTGGTCAAATCAATGTTTCTCTCCTTCCCCCTCCCCCCACCTCCCATTCACTCTCTAAAAAATTAATGGAAAAATATCCTTGGGTGAGGATTTTTAAAAAGTTGGTAGAATCTAAGTTTATTTCCATTCAACATCCTTTGTTTGGTATCAGACAATGAACCATGACAAAACTACTTCCATAGCATTTGTAGTTACCAGTTGGGAAACCATGAAATGGCATTAAAATGTTCTACGATCCCAACTCTTTGTAACATTTTTCCTCTCACTGCTTCAACTAGGGTAAATCATCAAATATGGATTTGATTCCATAGGAATGGGAGCCAGGGAAGGCTCTGAGCAAGAGATGGACATTATTAGGAAACATCTGCCCAACACTGACAAAGACTGTTCCCTCCATCTGGGGACAAAGGACTTGCCCCGAGTTCCCTCCCTCTCCTCACCCCTCCAGGGCCCACCCTGCCGAGCTCCCCAGAAATAAGGACTCAGAAAGCCAAGCCACTTACCCTTCCCAGAAGTGACATCAAACACCACGCCCTTCACCGCCATGTAGATGGGCTGATCTTCCTAGAAAGCAGGAGAGAAGCTGTGAGGAGGAGGCGAAGAGCCCAGCGTTTCCAGCTCAAGTTAGTAACATCTCTTCCCTCCTGGGCTGAGCAGAGAGGAGAGGAGCTGGTAGAGTCGCAAAGCAGCTTCCGTAAGGCGTCCTCAGCATGCTCACCCCTACCTGCACCATGGTCATGCCCACTCACAAGAACTTGGAAGAGTTAGAAATATCACGACAAGCCCATGGCTATACCATTTTTTTTTTTTAAATCAGGAACTGAAGCAACTCTATGTAGACAAAAATTCAAAAGAATATTAAATGATGAATTATTTAAATCATTCCAAATTTTCTTTCATCTTCGTGAAAGGAAATGAAAATGTACATACATGGACATAATTAGTGTAAATTATCTATTTTATGTATTGCTTTTTTAAAATATATTTTATTGATTTCAGAGAGGAAGGGAGAGGGAGAGAGAGAGAAAGATCAATGATCAGAAAGAATCATGGATCAGCTGACTCCTGCACGCCTCACACTGAGGATCGAGCCCGAAACCTGGGCATGTGCCCTGACTGAGAATCAAACCATGACCTTTGGTTCATAGGTCAATGCTGAGCCACAACGGCTGGGCATGTTTTGCTTCTTATAGGTGACGTTACATCATATAAACATTTGCATGTATTGAAATAACCAAAATGGCTGCCCCTTAAACAGCTATATTTCGTATTAGTGATACTTAGTACCTGTTTGTTTAGCTATTCTTCTACTTTGGGTATTTGAGTGGTTTCCAATTTCTTAGAACTATCAACAGCAGAATTATGAATATCTTTCTATGAGTTACTTTCTAATTTGGTGAATTATTTCCTTGAGGCCTGTTTCAATATGTGGAATTCTTGGGCCAAAGAATATGAACAACATAATCGCCTTTTATATTTTATCAGTTTGTCCTTCAAAACACAATTTACCAGCTAGGAAAATACAAGTAATGCTGTTTCCCCAGTTCTGAGAAATTCTATACTTTATTTTTTGTTGTATTCCTGGGTATACAATGTTACCTTAATTTCCTCCCAAAGGAGGATAACACAAGAGCAGATGGTGCGATTTTCTAGCCTCCATGCAGTCGGGTCAGGTTGGGGTGGCTGGCAGTTCTCGGACACCCAGGACCTGGTCTTTCCTTTGTCTGAGCCCCGTCCAGGGACAGGGACAGCAGCCAGGTGGCTCACAGGCCAGGGTGAGGGTGGGAGTCACAGCTGGGTGTATAAGAATTTCAAAATGTTCCAAAACATGCTGCTTGGCATTCTCTGGGGTTCTTGCCTTCATGGAGCTTGAGTTCAAGTGTTTTCATGACCACAGGTAACAGACAGAGAAAAGCACTTCGCACATCACCATCTCATTTAACTCTCACTCCCCAAAAATCTATATAGAGTGGGAACTCTACATATATAAAATACATAAATATATTTTATTGATTTTTAGAGAGGAAGAGAGAGAGGGATAAACATCAAGGATGAGAGAGAATCATTGATTGACAGCCTCCTGCACGCCCCCTTCGGGGGATCAAGCTAGCAACCCTGGCATGTGCCCTGACCAGAAAAACAACTGTGACCTCCTGGTTCACAGGTGGATGTTCAACCACTGAGGCACACCAGCCAGGCTAGAGTAGGAACTCTTATTCTAGCCATTATGATGGTCATTCAACCAAACACTTAGGGAGGTGTTGCTGTGAAGGTATTTTGTAGATGTGATTAACATCAACAGTCGGTTGATTTTATATAAAGGAGATTGTCCTGGATAATCTGGGGCACTGATTACATCAGTTGAAAGGCCTTAAGGATTGAGTTGAGATTTTCCTAAGGAAGAAGAGAGCCCACAGTGGGCTGCGGCGTCAGCTCCAGCTCAGGCTTCCGGCCGTCCTTCCTGCAGCCTGCCCTACAGATGTTAGACTTGCCTAGCCAGCCCCCATGAGCACATAGACCAATTTCAACCGCCCCTCCTCCCTTCCTCTGCCTGCAAACATCCAATGGGCCCCCTACCCAAAATATTCTTTGCTTACCCTGCTTCCAGCTCAAGCTTCCCTCTTTCCTTCCCTCAGTTAAGTATGAACCAATTACATCAGCTTAAAAAACCAAAGATTTTTTTCCCTCCGTCCCCATCCTGCAGCCCCTGGTAGTGCTGCTGCTCCTACCCCCCACATGGAACTCTCTCTCCTTGGGTTCTGCGCTGGGGCCCCTCCAGATCTCGCCCATGTCTGGACATTCACTAGTAGGACTGGACTCAGCATAAGGTTGTACTCAGAGTAGGGTTACAGCGATGTGGTAAGGACCCACCGCCTAGCACAAGAGAAAAGGACATGGGGTCTGGAGCAGCGGTTTTCAGCCTCAAGGGCACAGGCGCCAGGAGCAGGTGAAGGGTCAGCTGCAGGGGAGGCCTGGGACACAGGGGCAGGAAAACGAAGTGCAGGGAAAGCCTGGATCACCCCTGGGCAGCCCCAATTCCCGCCGGACCCAGGAGCAGGCTCAGCTTCCCTCCCTCCCTGCCACTCCCCCCAAAGAGTAGGCAGAAGTGTCTGCCCCCCAACATTCTGAGGCTCCTTACAGACCACCAGCCAAAGTGCGTCTCAAGGAGGCAGCTCGAGGGAAGAAAGAGGACAGCGTGGGTGGGGTCTTCTGGTTTAGTGAAGGGGGAAAGCTGGGCGCCTCGTTTGCTGAGGACTCCCCCTTATCCCTGGGCGGCCATGGGGCCTGGAGAGAGGAGGCCGGGCAGGCCAGGCGCCCAGCTCC